GCCAAGAGTGGAGGTGCTTCTAGGCCAAGAGTCGAGGTGCTACTAGGCCAAGAGTCGAGGTGCTACTAGGCCAAGAGTCGAGGTGCTACTAGGCCAAGAGTCGAGGTGCTACTAGGCCAAGAGTCGAGGTGCTACTAGGCCAAGAGTCGAGGTGCTACTAGGCCAAGAGTCGAGGTGCTACTAGGCCAAGAGTCGAGGTGCTACTAGGCCAAGAGTCGAGGTGCTACTAGGCCAAGAGTCGAGGTGCTACTAGGCCAAGAGTCGAGGTGCTACTAGGCCAAGAGTCGAGGTGCTACTAGGCCAAGAGTCGAGGTGCTACTAGGCCAAGAGTCGAGGTGCTACTAGGCCAAGAGTCGAGGTGCTACTAGGCCAAGAGTCGAGGTGCTACTAGGCCAAGAGTCGAGGTGCTACTAGGCCAAGAGTCGAGGTGCTACTAGGCCAAGAGTCGAGGTGCTACTAGGCCAAGAGTCGAGGTGCTACTAGGCCAAGAGTCGAGGTGCTACTAGGCCAAGAGTCGAGGTGCTACTAGGCCAAGAGTCGAGGTGCTACTAGGCCAAGAGTCGAGGTGCTACTAGGCCAAGAGTCGAGGTGCTACTAGGTCAAGAGTCGAGGTGCTACTAGGCCAAGAGTCGAGGTGCTACTAGGCCAAGAGTCGAGGTGCTACTAGGCCAAGAGTCGAGGTGCTACTAGGCCAAGAGTCGAGGTGCTACTAGGCCAAGAGTCGAGGTGCTACTAGGCCAAGAGTCGAGGTGCTACTAGGCCAAGAGTCGAGAAGGACGATGCGCACGCCTTCTTCGAGCGAGCCATTTGGAAGACCTCGCGCACCGGAGCCGGGGGAGATGTGGGGAGATGTGGGGGAGATGTGGGGAGATCTGGGGGAGATCTGGGGGAGATCTGGGGGAGATCTGGGGGAGATCTGGGGGAAATCTGGGGGAGATCTGGGGGCGCCATCTGGAAGAGCCTCGCCGCTACTCGCCAAGCGGTTCTCTCGCAGGTGGGGGGGGGACAGGGTTCAGGGTGCCGGGGCAGGTAGGGGAGGGACACGAGTACCCGTCGTGGGTTCGTCTCCTTTGGGGGTAGGGGAGGGACCCACCATGCGCGCCCCCTCGCCGAGATGTGGGGAGATCTGGGGAGATGTGGGGAGATCTGGGGAGATCTGGGGAGATCTGGGGAGATATGCGCACCATGCGCGCCCCCTCGCCGACGTACTTTTGCACCAGCTCGGAGCCAATCACGCGGATGAAGCACGCGTCGGTCCTGGGGGAGATATGGGGAGATATGGGGAGATATGCGGGGAGATATGGGGAGATATGGGGAGATATGGGTCCTGGCCCGCACATCGGATCGGTTGGGACTCGGCGCCCACACACACACTCCCTCAGTCTTGCTCTCCCCTCCCTCCCTCCCTCCCTCCCTCCCTCCCTGCCTGCCTGCCTGCCTGCCTGCCTGCCTGCCTCCCTCCCTCCCTCCCTGCCTCCCTCCCTCCCTGCCTGCCTGCCTGCCTGCCTCCCTCTCCGGCCAGCTCTCGGCCAGCTCTCGGCCAGATCTCGGCCAGATCTCGGCCCACCGGTTGGCCACGGCGCGCGCAGCGAGGGTCTTCCCGGTGCCAGGCGGGCCGAAGAGCAGGATGCCTACGCGGGAGATATGGGGGAGATATGGGGGGGACATGGGGAGAGATGGCGGGCCGAAGAGCAGGATGCCTACGCGGGAGATATGGGGGAGATATGGGGGGGACATGGGGAGAGATGGCGGGCCGAAGAGCAGGATGCCTACGCGGTGGAGGAGATCTCCCCGCATCTCGGCCGCATCTCGTCGTCTCTTGGGCAGGAGGCGGAGGAG